GGGGGGGGGTGGATGGGGGGTCATTTCCCCTCCCTAATATTTTTCTCATATATAGGCTTTCTCTCTGAGAATTTTAGAAGCATTACTATTTTATCTTTTAGCAAGCACACCGAGTTATATATAAGCAAATCTATTGTGTTTTCGACACAAAAATTAGTAACTCCCCTTATAAAAGTGGAAAAGGTCGCGATTTTCTGCTTCAATATGTCCTGTTTCTCTTTGAATTCGAACTATTTTCTCTTTGATTTTTTACTACTTTCTCTTTCGAGATGTAGTACTTTCTCCTTGAGTTTGGATTGCTTTCTCTTTCAAATTGGGAGACTTTCTCCCTTGAATTTTCCCCCCTCTGAGCAAAAACAAACGAAAGCTATGTACACCCACACTTACCCATACTCATTCTGTCATATTAAAATAAAAATTAAAAACTTCATTTTCGACATTTTGTCTGTCTACATTTTCCTTTTGACCTTTTCCTACTGATTATCTATTCTATTCGACGTTAGTCTTTTCGGTCTTTATACTATATACTTTTTCCTTTTCGACATTTTCCTATTCTACATTTTCTCTTTCGACATTTAACACCAAACCCATTTACTTGATTCCGAAAAATATAATTGATTAAAGTCTATATCACATTATCTATTATTAGTTTTCATAAATTAACTGAAAAGAAAATCACATGATACACGTTATACCTTGAATAGATTTATCTGTTACTATTGTTTCTTTTTTAGTGATTAGTTTTTAATATAAAAGAATGTTTTAAGAAAAAAATCAATGCTAAATTCATTTGTTCACGAAATTATAAACTCAATATTCGAGATTTCGCATATGCTATTATAAAGTTGATCGTTACTCACAAGAATCCTGTTGGTTATCAAATAGTTCTACTCTTATTTAATATGAAATCGAATTTATTTGAATTATTAACTAAAATCAAATGGGATTAAAAGAAACATTTGCTTACGAATTAAAAGCTGCAGTGCAGAGTTGAATGGCATATATTTATACAACAAACAGAAAAAAAGGTATTTAAAACTGGTTTGCTATCAGGAAAACATTCGACAAGCACCGGAAGATTGATTAATTATGAACCATCTCTTACAGTATTTCGATTGATATAGCCTTTCTTCACTTCATCACTTATCGTCAACAAGATTAATATTTGTGGTTGCTTGTTCATCGATATTTGATTTTAAACTTTTCATTTCATCTTTCAATAATGTCATCGACTCTAAAAGTCAAAATATACATTTTATTGTTGTTTCTCCTCATAATAATAAAACTTCTCCTAAATACCTTTTGAATTTTGACTTAATTCATAATCTGACTGTATTCTATTTCCATTTTTATTAGTATCTGGAAAAATACATAATGTTAGCGCTAGTAAAATAATATTGAATATAAGTACAGGAATAAATGACGCCATAGGAATTATATCAATATGGTGTTCTAAACATATTGATATACTTGCAGCTGTAAAACCGATTACTTCCGTTACAGCCGTTAGAGAACTAAAACCAACAGCAGATCTCATTTGAATAATTAGTATAATTTGAGGCAAGTATCCAATTGAATCAATAATTCCTAGAATAACTCCTCCAATCAGTACTGACATATAAAGATGTGATTTTGTTAATTGAAGTATATGATATAAAATAATTCCACATATAGAACATAAAAGTAATAATAACATATAATTTATTAGAAACTGAAAATATTTTGATTTTTGTGAAACTGATGTATTTATAGATTGTTTCTCTTGATCATAATGTTTGATTTGACATATTACAAATAGTGCAGTAGCAATAGATATTACGTAAGCAGCAGCTATAATTAATATTTCATCAGTCCAAATTAAATAAACTAATGTCACTCCAGATCCTACAATCCATGATAATATAATTGTTGATGTTGATAAATTATCTGTATTTTATAAACGATAATTTAGAAGAGCTTGTGGTAATAATGCTATCATAAAACATACTAAAAAGATCGATTCAAAAAAATCCGATGAAATTTGTCTCTCCGTCTTCGTGAATTGAAACATATTTTAATATTACTTCAGTATTTTATTACTGAATTGCTAAATTAGAATACTAAAAATAAAAACTAGATAAATATGAATTTAATGATTTTTCCTATTTCACTCAAAAACGTGATCATGGACAATAAAAATGGTATGTATGATGTTGCATATTTTTCATAAAATTTCAATAGTATATATTTTGAAAATTTTCTCGTTGAGTTTTATGAAGAATTAATGATTATTCATACGATAAATATAAATATCTGTAATGTTTTTATATATATATATTCATTTAACATCAATTACAGAATTAACTTAAAAATAATTAGGAATCTAATGAGTAATATAAAATAATATAGATTCACTAATTAATATTACACTACTATTTGCTTCTACATATATAATTGACATATCTATGAATAGATTATTATAGATAACAATTCGAACATATCCTTGTTTAGCTTGATATATGAGTAAAACTATTGTAGGGTGTGAATGTTGCCTTAGTTTTGAGATATACTCATGACAGAAATGATAATCAGATAAAGCGATAAAAAAAATAAAAATTCAATAAATGAGACAATACTAAAAAATTTGAAAGGGGGAAGGGGTAAAATGAGTAAGTGCCGTACTTTATTTAACCCTGTAAAGTAGAGTGAATCATTTTACTTAACTTTCGCGCGATCAAATACAGTATTGTTGACATTATGACGCCCATTGGAGTTTATGTTGGAAAAAATCATTTCTCCATGCACAGTAAATATATATTGTGACTGTAAACAAAAATAACAACGTAGGAGTACATGGCAATGCAGGAACAACAATATATAACTTCTTCTTTTCCATTGTTTGCTTTCACTTTTGAATTTAACGAATAGTGGCACAAGAAAAATCAAAACATATACTATGCAACGAAATTTAACACTCTCACGAACCTTTTCTAATGATGTTCGTTTTAATACTACATTATTACCGGTTCGACGGAATCGTCAACGTCGTAGTATTTTTAATAGGACAAGAACAGGTCGTTCAACTTCTCGTAAACGTACAGCGAGAACTAGCCGACGTTTGTATATATTCTTATATCTATTCTCTATTTCAATTTATTATTTAGCTGTAGTACCAAAAAACGTCGATAATACAATGTCGTCAAATACTTTGTCTATTGAGAATAAACAAATTCATCAAGAATCAAGTATTTAAATAGGCACTTTTACATTCAGTTTAATCAACAGATTTCAATCAATTGAGAGATTAAAATTCATGACTGAAAGAGTTTAAATCAAAAAAACTCTAAAGATTTATGATTTGAGTTAAAATGAATTTTGAGACGATGCGAA